AGGGAAACCAATTTCAACCGGACTGAGTAGGACTTCGTCGTGTGAGTCCGAATGGAGTCTCATTTGATTCGCCTATTTGGGTGAGATCGACTGGTGACTTACTGCTTTAAGTAGATTCGCCCGTGACTCAAACGAGGTTACATAATGGATTCGTTATTTCGGACGAAGTCAGTCTTGACTTGAGTCGTTCGAGTGGGACCAAACTATCATTGATTCGAGCGAAGTCACTTTGCTTCTTTTTTTATACATATTTGAGCGAGGTCGAACTTAGAGTTTGTAGCGGAATCAAATTTTTTCTTTTTAGTAAGTAGAAGAAAAAATGTACGACGACGACCGATAGCTGCAAAGGCTTTATTGAGGTCGAACTTTTCCTTTTGCGATGGCCTTTCGCCGTAGGGATATTATTTCGAGTTGGTCGAAATGTTAACCCGGTGTAATTCGATCGAAGTCGAACTCTTTTCTTTGGCGACGGCCTTTGGCTGTAGGGGAGTTACTTCAAGCTAACGTCAAAATGTTATCCCATTGTGACTCGAACGAGGTCGAATTCTTTTCTTTGGCGACGGCCTTTGGTCGTAGGGAAGTTACTTCGAGCTGACATCGAAATGTTATCCCATTGTAATTCGAACGAAATTGAATTCTTCTCTTCGGCGATGGCCCTTGGCCGTATGGGTTATTTCGAGCTGACGTCGAAATGTTAACCCGTTGTTATTCGAGCGAGGTCGAATTCTTCTTTTTGGCGATGGCCCTTGGCCGTATGGGTGTTATTTCGAGCTGACGTCGAAATGTTAACCCGTCGTTATTCGAGCGAGGTCGAATTCTTCTTTTTGGCGAATGCCCTTGGCCGTATGAGTGTTATTTCGAGCTGACGTCGAAATGTTAACCCGTCGTTATTCGAGCGAGGTCGAATTCTTCTTTTTGGCGATGGCCCTTGGCCGTATGGGTGTTATTTCGAGCTGACGTCGAAATGTTAACCCGTCGTTATTCGAGCGAGGTTGAATTCTTCTTTTTGGCGATGGCCCTTGGCCGTATGGGAGTTATTTCGAGCTGACGTTGAAATGTTAACCCGTCATTATTCGAGCGAGGTCGAATTCTTCTTTTAGGCGATGGCCCTTGGCCGTATGGGTGTTATTTCGTGCTGACATCGAAATGTTAACCCGTCGTTATTCGAGCGAGGTCGAGTTCTTCTTTTTAGCGATGGACCTTGGCCGTATGGGCGTTATTTCAAGCTGACGTTGAAATGTTAACCCGTCGTTATTCGAGCGAGGTCGAATTCTTCTTTTTGGCGATGGCCCTTGGCCGTATGGGTGTTATTTCGAGCTGACGTCGAAATGTTAACCCGTCGTTATTCGAGCGAGGTCGAATTCTTCTTTTTGGCGATGGACCTTGGCCGTATGGGTGTTATTTTGAGCTGTCGTCGAAATTTTAACCCGTTACGAGTCCCAGTTTTTTGGAGAGTTTCGGGTGTTCTTTGGCGGAGTCCCAGCTTTGCTTAATTTTTGCATTTCTTGGGTGAGTCCCAGTTTTTTGGAGAGTTTTGGGTGTCCTTTGGTGGAGTCCCAGTTTTGCTTAATTTTTGCGTTTTCTGGGTGAGTCCCAATTTGCTTAATTTTTTTTGCCTTGGTGAGTATGATGACGGAGAATATAAAACGTTGCCGTTTCGCTAACTGGAGGGTACCATATGCGTTCGTTTCATGCATATATTGGAATTTCCCTGTATCTAGTCTCTTCGTCGTTTGGCCTGGAGAGCTCGTCGATAGGCGGGGCGATGAATTACCTCTTTAATTTAGAGACGCCTCCCTCATCGCCTCGTTAAGAACCTCCCCGAGAAAATGCAATTGGGACAACACCCGGGTGAGGGAAAAGGGGATGCGACTTGAGGAGCGTCACTTCCCAGAGGTTGAAGTGTTTGAGATGGGCGACATTCCAGTTATTTTGTAGTAGTTTTCTTTTCATTGCCTCTAGCTAGGATGTTCCTTTGCTTGCTTGCCCGTGCGGCGCTGGTGTTCCTATCTAAGCAAACAATAGAGTGTAAACCAAAATGATGGGACTTTTTCTTACCTCGATCCAATGAGTCGGTGAGCGAGGGTAGCCTTATAGCATTGCTCGCTCTACCTGGCGTTTGAATGGTTGATGGAATGGTGGTTTTTAGCTTTGGCGGCCATATTCGGCTTTCCTTTCTTTTTTAAAGGTGCCTTAGCTCCGCGCGGGTTGGGTTCGCCTTAATTGCTGCGGTGCAGAAATCGAGTCCCTGTTCGATCTCGTCTGATTCGTACCCATAACAAGGGAGACATGTTGTACTTTGTTCGTGAATCATCCGATGTGTGTGAGCTTTGTGTGGATATCGGTTGTAACTTCTGCTTTTGTGTAGCAGCTTGATCTGGATTAGCATATGAGGTTCACTTACCACTCTTTCGGGTGAGTGATTATATTTCACCGGTTTTGGATTTGAAGGAAACTAAAGAATTTGGCTAAGAAATCCCCACGCACGGCGCTAAATTGTTTGACCAAAAGTTTGGGACTCTTTTGGTAACTTCAATTATCGATGATGAAAAAGATAAATCTTAGCCAAGCATAATCAACTTCAGATCTAAAAGTGAATAACGAAATAATCAATGAAAAGTGAAAACATTCTGAGTTTATTGATCTTATAACCTCATCATTCATAAGAAGAAAAAATGAGTTTACATCCTTAACAATAAGAGATTGTAAGAGAAAGAGTAGAGAGGAAGAGTCCAGCCCCCCCTTCCGGAGAATTCCCCTTCTATATATAGTTCTCGGAACTTTGCTCAGTGTTCTTTGACCAACGCGCTCTCGCGCGACGGCCATTTTCGTCGTCATTCGAGTACCGTTCTTACTTGACATACACTGTCGATGATCTAACTCCGAGGTTGGTCGTGGTGCTTTACGCTGTTTCGCCACCTGCGCGAGATCCCGGCTGGGTCGATCACTACGGTCTGATTTTGACCTATACACAACTAATTATCAGAACCATCCAACATATTCATTTCATGATATGTTATGAAAAGCGTCCATAAAATAATTTTAGCAGAAACAGTTTCGTTTTCTTTTTTCTTTTTGCTTTTTGCTTTTTGAATTTCTTAAAGATTTAATCATACATGCAACTGCAAGCTAAGGTTACCCCTTTTTTTCCAAATGATTATGTTTTTAAAGGAGAGCGAGAGAAAGGAATTTCTACTATTTTGAAAGTTTAATCTGTTCAAAACAGAAAAGGTGTGCTCAAACCCCCATTCTATCGCAAAGAAAAATTGGAAATTTGAAACCAAAACACCCTAAGATTATTCATAATTATAGCCAGTAAAGTGGTGAGTTAAGTTATGTTTCTTTCTCTCTTTTTTAATTTATTTTTAATTTTCTCCGAGTGAGTCCCGTAATGGTGAGGAATGGAACCAAAATGATGTTTGGTTGCATTAAGGTAACCCTAATTTCAGAGGCGAATGCAATGTATAGGTACTGGGTTTAACTGAATCCAGTACTTTCGAAACCGAAAATAATTTTATATGTAAAAAATTATTGAAATTTTAATAAATAATAGATATGAACCTATAATTTTAAATATGTAATTGGTTCAATGATAGCAACCTTAAAGGTGAAACCCACAAAATTTAAATCCTGGATCCACCTTTACCTAATTTACACCGTTGGGGATACTACATATTGAAGACTTGCGGACAGTAATTTATATTTTATTTTTTATGATTAAGATTACGACAATATATCCTATTATTTATTGAAATCACAATTTGATGACTTGAAAAGAACATGAAATAACTTGTTTTATCTATCAAGGGTCTTGGTTAATTAGGATTATGAAAATAATTCTCAACAAAAATTTGGTATTATATTTAAAATTTCGATTTTGGTATAAGCAATACAAGAAAATCTTATATCACGATTTTGATACTATTTTATACCGGATTCAACATGAGATAAGTTAAGCCGAAATTGGTTTACGGGGAAAATTTAAAATATCAAAATAATTTCATTTTTTTTAATTTTTATTTACTCGTAAAATAATGGTAGAATTATAAGTTTTTTATATTATTATATACCATAGATCACATTTTAGTGCAACCAAATATCCGTTTCAAAAATCATATGCACTAAATAATCAGGTGATTATTAATCTTCGCAATTATGGGTCGTTTGGTAGGATGCATTAGATAAAATAATGCATGTATTAGCTTTGTGTATTAATATTATTTTGATTGATACACTTTTTGAACATATGTATTAGGTATGCAAACATTAGTTATACACACTATTTGGTATTATCCTATCTATAATTAATGCATAAGAAACCATGGTATTAACAATGCAATGGGCTTTAATGCATGCATTAGCTTAGTTAAAGATAAAATTGTCCTTCAAAATTTTTACTTGATTAAAATATGCTACTATTATATTAATGCAAGTTTGAAATAATCCAAGAAAGTGGAAAATAAAATCATATCGCTCGTAAATAAGTAAATATTTAGATAAAGTGAATGACTAGGTATGAGGGCATTTTTGTATACAATCAATTCTTTTAGAAAATTGTGCAATGCTTTAATACATCAAACCAAACAAGGGATAGGAAATATGTCAGCATAACTAATGCAAGCATAACTAATACCAGCATTACTAATACATGATATTCAACATTATTCTTATATACCCTACCACCTTAATACTTTGTTTGGTTAGCAAACCTGATATAAGTTATCCCGAGATTAAAATTAGTACCAGAATAACTTATACCTTGTAGGGAATGGGGTAATTAGTGCCGAGATAACTTATACGTTCTTCTTAGAAATTATACAGTTGTCATTCTTAATACAACATACCAAAAAGTGGATAAAAAGTAATACTATAACAACTAATCCCAGCATAACTAATCCCATCATAACTTATGTAATTATAACTTATATTCCAACCAAACGACCCCTTAATGTATTACCAATATCTCCATGACTTTATTAAACCCTTTCATAATTAGTCAGCTGAGGCGGCATTTCTTATGTGGGATGAAACGGTTGACAGTTCGCCCACAGTAGAAATCGAAGACGGGTCACTTCAAGCTATTTATAGCTGCTTCCCACCATTGATGGTTTTCTATGTACACCCTCTAAAGCATAGAACTTATTACCTTTTTCTCACTTCAAATTCACATATCTGTTGCGCAAAACTTAACTCCAATGGCTTCCAACACTAAAGAAATAGCAGTTGATATGACCCCCTTTTTCGTTATCTACAAAGATGGTACCATCAATAGATTCAGGCCATCAGAAAATGCTCCACTCTGTGACGATCCACAAGCTCCTGTTCAATCTAAAGATGTTGTAATTCAACCAGAAACAGGGGTTTCCGTACGTTTATATCTCCCCAAACTCACAAACCCACAACAGAAAATCCCCCTCGTAATTTACATTCACGGCGGCGCTTTCTGTATTGGATCAGCTCGTTCCCCCACGTTCCATAATTTCATCAGCTCACTAGTCGAAAAGTCTAATTTTATTGCTGTTTCTGTTGATTACAGGCTTGCCCCTGAAAACCCTCTTTCCACTACGTACGATGATTCTTGGTCAGCATTTCAATGGGTGCTTTCACATGTTAATGGAAAAGGCCCAGAGTCATGGTTAAATGAGTATGCTGATTTTGGTAAAGTTTTTATTGGTGGTGAAAGTGCTGGAGCAAATATTGCTAATGACGTTGCTGTTAGAGCAGGGGTTAGTGATCTTGATTTAAAAGTTAAAATTTTGGGGCTTTATTTGGTTCATCCGTATTTTGGGGTAGAAAATGATACGCTGTACAAGGTTTTGTGTCCGACAAATACTGGTGGATGTTTCGAAGATCCGAGGGTAAATCCGTTGTTAGATCCGAGGTTAAAATCCATGGCGTGTAAGAAAGTGCTGTTTTTGGTGGCGGAGAAAGATTTTCTGAAAGAAGGGACGATGAATTATTATGAAGGGTTGAAGAAGAGTGAATGGAATGGAGAAGTGGAAATAATGGAGACGAAAGGGGAAGGCCATTGTTTTCATTTCTTCAATCCTATGTCTGAGAAAGCTGTAGCTCTTATGGATAAACTGGTTGATTTCTTGAAGCAAGACTAGGTTTGTTTTAAGATTATTTTGCCTTAACTCTCATACTTATGTTTTTAAAGACCTTTTAATATGTTCTTTTGAGCATTCAACTTGAATTTGTGGTTCTTGTATTTGAATTTTGAGCTCTATCAATATATTAAACCAAAAATCCTAAAAATAGTTATAATTATCCAATTGTGTTTCCTTCCTCCTCCTTGTAAACTTGTTGACTACATACCTTATGATTTATGAAACATTGTTCAAGTAATTAAAAAATTCACCTCTTTCTTCACACCAAGTACAATTAATTGCTCTCGTTCAAGAGCTAACCGTGAGATGCCACTGTAGATTCCTTAAGGTGGAAAAGGAAGGGACAGACGAATTCTTCAGCTATATTCCGATGAGCAATTGAAGTTGCTTTTGTGGTTAAAGTAACGACACGCATTTCCTTTTTTGTTGTGGTTCCCATATTGAGACGAAAGGGGAATCCTATGTATATATTTGTACTCGAGTGTTGCTTCTTCATCCTTCCTCTTTACCCAAATAACCGGATAAAGTCGTTGTTTACTTTTTTTTTAATCGATATTCATAAATTACACATTAATTAAGTGTAGTAATACATGTATCATACATGGATTATACTTATATTATATATTTGTTGGCTATTTTTAGTTTAAGATATTGCATTAACGACTATTTAGGTTAATGCTTCTTTGTTTTACTTGTCATTAGGGCGGTCAAATGTGGCTCAAGCCCAAATGACCCGCCCAAGGTTGGGCAGGTTATTGACCCGCTCATTTGTTGAACTCAGCCCATTTTGACCCAACTCATCTAAATTAGGTTGATTTTTAGCCTAAATTGATTCAATGAGTGACTTTGTTAGAATATTTTAGAATAATTTTTTTTGCTTGATAACTTATATAGGACCATTACAAAAGAAAAAGTATTTTTAATAATTATGCAATTTATTGTCTCAGCCCATTTTAATCCTGACACCCCTACTTGTCGTTACCTTCATATCCCTGAAGATTATGAGGAGATATACAATGAGAAAATGTGTTCCAACCAAAGCACGTTTTCTTCGTACCAATTTTTCTGAGAAAATAATACCTATATAAATTATGTAGGAATAAACGTAATATTTATACGGGATATATGTGAAATGAGAATGCAAGTATTAACAATACATGCACTTAATCAACTAAAATGACAAAAACACCCTCACGATTTCCAAAGTAAACATCCAAAAACAAATAATTCATGTATTACTATTCCCTACAATTACTAATACATGCATTACAATCCTGCATAACTTATATTCGAATCAAACAATTCCTTATGAATTTTCACTACTTTATCTTTACTTAGAGTAGAAATATAGAAAACTTCTACTATTTATTTTTAAATGTTAATTTATCTTTTATAATATTGGCCTAATATAAGTTTAAATAAAATGATATGCAGGTCAATGCGGATTCATATAGCTGAGTCCATTTTATCAAAGATGGAGTGACATACTAGTTGTTGTATCTTTACCTAGAGTTCCTCTAGCCTTTCAAACAGTCCTGGCGTTTTTTTTCTTTCTTTTTTTTCCCAATGGGAACGTATGCTAAATTGAGAATCGTAGACCATAAGAAGATCAGTTAGAGAATTGAATGACGCGAAATTATACGCAGAAAAATTTGTGGCATTTATTTTAATTCAGAAAATGAGCGGTTGGTGATCTCTTTACCCACCTTTGTCCTATCTACGTGACCAGAGATCTTTATTATTGACCCACACTACTAGAATTCCCGTAAAAAGCGACCAAATATTAGCGACCAAATTTGGTCTGTCAAAAAAAGCGGCCAAAGTTGGTCGCCAAACTGCCGAAAATAATTAAAAAAATATTTCAAATACTTTAGCGACCAAAGTTGGTCGCTATTTGGCCGCAAATTTAGTCAAACTGTTGACTGGACTGGTCGGACTTGCTTGGTCAAGATATACTGAGATTAGCGACCAATGTTGGTCGCTAAAGTGGGACCCACATAATTTTTTTTAATAATTTTATTATTATTTTATAGAACTTATAAATAAATATATATAATTTAAAACTTACGACCAAAGTTGGTCGCTAACTGAAGGATAAGTTGATAGCGACCAACATTGGTCGCTAAAGCTGGACCCAGTTATTATATTTTAATAAATATATATTTATTTAAAATAAATTATAAGATATAAATAAATATAATTCAAAAGTTAGTGACCAAAGTTGGTCGCTTAATGAAATAGAGACCAATGTTGGTCGCCAAGGTGGGACCCAGTTCTAACATTTAAAATTTTTTATTATTAATTAAAATATTATATAAAATATAAATAAATCTGATTAAAATTTAGTGACCAAATTTGGTCGCTAAATTTAATTCATGTACAGTTAGTGACCAACTTTGGTCCCTAAATTAAATTCATTTACAGTTAGCGACCAAAGTTGGTCTCTATATGGTAAAAATTAAAAATCACTTTTGTATTTACTATGTAAATAATATAAATGTAAGTCGTTAATGCTTTTGTAATACAAGGGATGAATAGTACTACGAAGTGGGCGTGTGTGTCTATATATATATATATATATATACTTACACTATATTATGCACTAAGTATAAGTGTATTAGGTAATACCGTATCGAATATAGCTTATATATATATATATATATGTACTTACGCTATACTATGCACTAAGTATAAGTGTATTAGGTAATACTGTATCGAATACAGCTTATATATATATATATATATATAATATATGTACTTACGCTATACTATGCACTAAGTATAAGTGTATTAGGTAATACTGTGTCGAATATAGCTTATATATATATATATATATGTACTTACGCTATATTATGCACTAAGTATAAGTGTATTAGGTAATACCGTATCGAATATAGCTCATATATATATAATATATGTACTTATGCTATATTATGCACTAAGTATAAGTGTATTAGGTAATACCGTATCGAATATAGCTTATATATATAATATATGTACTTACGCTATATTATGCACTAAGTATAAGTGTATTAGGTAATACTGTATCGAATATAGCTTATATATATATATATATATATATATAATATATATGTACTTACGCTATACTATGCACTAAGTATAAGTGTATTAGGTAATACTGTATCGAATACAGCCTTTATATATAATATATATATATATATATATAACAGGAAAAAAATTAGGGTTATTTTATTTACTTATTTTCAAATATAGCGACCAAAGGTGGTCGCTTTTTGGTCAAAT